GAGGGGAGCGGGGGGAACGGGAAAAGGACGAGGGAAGGGGAGCGGGGGGAACGGGAAAAGGACGAGGGAAGGGGAGCGGGGGGAACGGGAAAAGGACGAGGGAAGGGGAGCGGGGGGAAAGGGAAAAGGACGCGGGGAGGGGGGAAAGGGAAAAGGACGCGGGGAGGGGGGAAAGGGAAAAGGACGCGGGGTGGGGGACGGGTGGGGCAGGGGGAGGGGAGGGAGAGAAATAAACAAAAAAAGAGAGCGTGGCGAGAGGTGACAGGGAAGGGGTATGGGGGAGGATGGACAGAGAGAGGGGAGAGGGAGGATGAAGGGGGAATGGGGGAGAAAACCAGAGAAATAGGACAATGTTGAGGGAGGGAGAGAGAGAAACAGGAAGGTGATGGGAGAGACTGGACCAGAGAGAGGAGTGAGTGGGTTGGAGGGCGACAGCCTTGGGAGAAAAATAAGGAGAGAAGGGCACAGGAAGAGTGAGTGAGACATCAGGGAGATTGGCCTGAAAGAATAAGAGAGACTAAGGGTGAGTGTGTCCTGCACAGGGACAGACAGGTGAGAGAGTCTGTCCTGCAGAGAGAGGTGGGAGAGAGAGACTGAGCAAGAAGGAGAGAATGGGGTGTTTGTCGGGGACCGAGCCCGGCCCAGACAGAGAAAAAGAAGTGAGAGAGATTGAGGGGAATAAGATGGAAAGAGAGTGAGTCTAAGCTATGGAGAGACAGGGTTGGGGGTAAGGGGAAGAATGGGGTGGGGATAATGGGACAGAGAGAGGTGGTAGGGCAAGGCAGATTGTGGAGAGAGAGTGAGGAAACAAAGGGAGATGTAGGGAGAGAATGTGAGAAGTATTAGGATGATGGGAGAGAGTGAGTGGGAGGGTGAGTGACAGTGGTGAGATGAGGGGTGTAGGTCTGGAAGAGGAAGTGAACAAGACAGATCAGACAAGAGGAATGGAGGTGGCATTGCGAGGAGGATGAGGGATTTGAAGGGCATAGGGTGACAGAGGGAGGTCAGTGAGGTAGACAAGATGAAGATATCAGGTGTGGGAGGGTGAGATTGAGGAAGGGGAGACAAAGAAACAGGGTGAGGAGGAATGGATGAAGGAGTGAGATGTGAGATTTGTGGCGGAGGGATGGAAAGGCAAAGCTGCCATCGGCTTGGTGAGGTAGCCTGGGTCCAGGAGCTTGGGCTGAGGGGACAATGGAGAGAATTGGGGGGTAGGGGAGAGAAGTGTGGGGCGAGGTGTGGAAAAAGTGAGATTGGACCAGATGCTGACCATGCACAATACACCCTTATCAGAATCTCTGTCACGCTTTGTGGAATCTGGAGAGACTTCTCGGTCGCGCTCTCTCTCTCAAACACTAACCCTTCTGTCATCATGCATCCTTGATATCCAAAAATGAGCACCCATTGCCTTCCCAATCGTACCACCTCTATTCAGTTTGCATCATATTTGGTGGTGGAGCAGTCTTTATGGGCTGATTGAACTATTGCTCGTGTTTTGTATGTTTGTATTAGTTATTTCTGGTGCTGCTAGGCTGTTATTCGAGGTCCATGCTGGTCGCTGGCAATTGTGCCCTTCTCATCGTTAACAGTGGTTTCACTTTACAGTATTTAATAAATATAATTCACCTGTTAGAACAGCATGATAACTGCCAGTGCCCGATGTTGTTGAAAACCCAAATGGTTCATGAGTGATCTTACCATTGTTACCCTGAACAACTTACAAGTGGCTGCAGCTATGTCAGATTTGTCTGTGTTAAAATTCTAAACTGCATTTAATATATACATATATTATACAATCATACACTGCTGGCTAGGCTTTTCTGAATATTTCTCAGAAATCAGCATAACCCTTTGATGTCCCAGCAATTTTAATTTCAAACTATTCACCAGTGCAGAGCTTTCATGTGAAAATTGAAAAGTTATTGGCAATTTGGCATCAAAATGAGAAAAGATTTCTTCAAATATTTAGGAAATAATGCTACACTTTTGTCTTCCGGCCTGTGGTTTTGGGAGAGTTTTATTTACAAATTTTGTCTAGTGATGAATGTTTTAAATCTTTGTGTATTAATAATGCAAAATCAAGCCGGCAGTGAGGTCTCCCTCAAACTGTAGTTCGTTATGAACACTGTTCTGGACCATCCTCTGGAGTTTTATTATTTTGTTCTCTTTGGAGAAATTTAGTTATCAGAGCCAGGCTGTTTTATTTTGCAACCAAGAAGCATTTTGGTGGAAATCTGAAAACTGCTCCCCTGAAAGTCTGAGGGTCAGTTGAAATTTTCAGGATGAGCAAGTCTAAATTTTTGTTAGGTAAAAGGTGTCTAGGGAGCATTTTTGTAGGCGAGTAAATGGAATTGAGGTGCAGATCATCCACAATCTAATTATGTGACAGAATGGACTCGAGGGGCTTACTGGCCTAATTCAGCTGCAGTTTTCTTCCCTGTTAAATGGTACATGTAACAGAGTTTTATATTGGATTTTATGTCTGCGCTGTCTTTGGATTGGGGAATGTTTGTGGACATTTTGCTTTTGTGGCATCTCTCGGATGATGTTTCATGAAAGAGGTAAAGTCACAATGGTCCCAGAGGACTGATTCCTCAGAGTGAACCTGTGGTGGTATCACCACACCTTAGGCAAAGGAGAGGCTGAGTGGGAGAGGCCTTCATGGTAACCTCAATCAGTGCAGGAATTGAACCCAGGCTGCTGTTGTCACTCTGCATCAGAAACCAGCAGTCCAGCCAGCTGGGCTGTTTGTTGAATTATCTAGCCCCAGGAATATGCTATGTTTAGATAACGCCCGTTTGCGACTTGCCATTTGCTGCTCCAAGCTCTGTTTTTTTCACATCACTCAATGATGTTAGAGGTCATTTATGGAAGTCTGTTGAGCAAATCTGGTAAAATATTTGCAGTTGGTGTTCATGGTCATTTTTTTGAATGAGCTCTCACCACATTGCTTTTTAATGCTTAAAATGGGAATCCACTGAGTAGTGGAGTGGTACTAAGAGTGAAAAAACTATTTGAAGTTCTGCTTTTAAAAGCAAAGTTAAATACTAAAAAATGCTAGCATCCTTCAAAGTTTGTCAGATGGTGAGGAGTCTGATGCTGTCATTGCTGTGTAGAAACAGTTCCTTGATGCTGTGTTCACATGTAATACTGCTGACATTTCAAGTGTAAGTGTTAACTGAATTTATCAAGTATTGGAGTCAGCTTTTTCTCTAACAAAATCTAGACATTACTTACATTCATAAAAGCCAGGATTCTTCCTTTTTAATCTGTGAATTTCTTGATGTATTTGTCTGATTTGGACAGTTTTGAAAAATGAAGCTGAGCTCTGAAACTTGGGCTGCGCAAACTAGGATGGAATTACCACCTGGAATGAGACTAGGAATAGGAGCAGGCTGCTCAGCATTGAGTCTATTATTTGGTAAAACTATGGCTATTTTGGTAATTAATTTGATCTACCCAACAGAACTCTTGATATTATGACCAAACAAAAATATCAATTTGACTTCAGAGGTTTTGAGCTATTTTTGAAAATGTTCCAGATTTCCACTCTGTGATTAGTGTGGGCCATGTGTTTTACTCAGAGCTGCCATCAATTCTATACAGGTGATGTGTTGAGATTTGTTGATGCAGGAAATGCACGATATGCTGTAGGCCTAGGCATTCACTTGGGACTAGCACAAAATGGGATTTTCTAAACTTGTAAGGTCAGAAGTTTTGTATTACTTAAATGATGAAATAAAATTAGAATGCAAGCTAGCTGTATGTAATTTCTTAATTTGTTTGAATTTTTTATTTGCAGGGAATATGAAAGAAGTGTCAACATGACATCAAGATATGGGAAAACCTATAGTAAGAAGGGAAGTGCGAGCAACTCTAAGTTTGACGAAGTGTTCTCTGGTAAGCGAGCAAAAATAAGCACCAAATGGGGGGAAAGCACTTTCAAGGCTCAGCTGAGCCAGAAGAGACCCAATCTCAAACCAGAGTCAGTGGAACAGCCCAAACGGCAGAAGCTAGAAGACGAGCCATTGGAAGATCCTTTTGGGTTCGACAGCGATGACGACTCTCTCCCTGTGTCATCCCGGAATCCAGTTTCGAGCAAAGGGCCTCAATCAACAGAGTCTTTCAAACCAGGAGATGGGGACAATGCAACTTCACTGCTCGAGGTTAACAGTGTGGTTAATCGACCTATCAGCAGGGACGCAATTGTATGCAGCAAGTTGGCAGCATTGGGTGATGTTCTCCATGAGAAAGCTGCAGGCAGTACTGTGGCTTTGCCTTCAGAGATCCCAGAGGAAATCCCAGAATCTGGCAGCAAGTTGAACTGTCTGGGTGAGTCGCTTTTTTCCATGTCTGCTTCTACTCAATAAACAGAATGTGTAACAATCTCAAACAATATTAAAACTAGCCTGAATGGAAAAGGAGAAAGTCATCACTGGTATGTGGCAGCCGTGTTGTATTAGATTCAAAGAGTATTATTTGATCTTGGCGGTAGAACTAAGAGTTGGAGTGGTTCAGTCCTTGAGGGTGGTGGGGTGTAGGTGTACCCTCAATGTTGTTAGGAGCAGACTTCTTGACACTGAAGGAATGGTGATGTCAGGGTGGGGGGTGCATTGTATGGGGTCCAAGGTCCCCTTGTCCTACTAGATGGTAGTGGTGGCAGGTTTGGACGTTGTGTTTGGAGATGCGTTGGTGAGTTACTGCAGTGCACCTTGTGGGTGGTGTATGTTACTGTCATTGTGACAGTGGCACAGGGAGTAACTGACATCACATCCATGAATAAGTGGGCTGCTTTGTATGGAATTGCTTCCTCAAAGGTTAAGGGATGATCTGATCTAGGTCTTCAACATGATAGATAAAGATAAACTATTCCCTCTGGGATTGTAAAACCAGAATTAGTACCAGACAATTTAGAAGAGATGCCCAGAAGCACTTCCAAACAAAGCGTCCATGGATATTTAGAATTCTCTTCCACAAATAGCAGTGGATCAGCCATTATTTTTCTGCCTCATTTAAAATAATTTAAGAAAAAGTATTGAGGGATACAGGCCAAAAGCAGATATGTGGAGTTGAGCTACAAATCAGCCATGAGACCATGGCAGAACAGGTTTGAGGGGCTGAAGAGCTTACTCTTCTTTCTATGTTGTGTTAGTGGAGCTGTACTTGTCAAGGCATGTAGGGAGTGTTCTATCACACTCCTGACTTGTAGGTGGTAGACAAGTTTTTGAGTCAGGAGCTGAGGTACTCGCTGTTGGGTTCCTGGCCTGTGACCTGGTCTTGGTGCCATGGTATTGAAAAAGTGGCGGTGAGTCCATTTTCGGTGCGTAGATGTACTGTGCTGTTTGGGAAGTGGTTGTAGGATTTTGACCCAGTGACATTGAAGGAACAATGAAACATTTCCAAGTCAGGATGGTGTCTGGTTTTGTGGGGAGCTTTCAGGTGATGTTGGTCCCATGTATCTCTTACTGCCGTCCTCCTACATGGTAAGGCCGTGGGTTTGGATGATTCTGTTGGAGTGTTGGTGAATTTCTGCCGTATATCTTGTTGATAAAACATACTGCTGCTACTGAGCTTCAGTGATGGAATGAGTGAATGTTTGTGGATGTGGTGCCAGTCAAACTTGTTATTGGAACTGCACTCGCGCAGCTGGGGAGTATTTCATCACATTCCTGATGTGCGTCATGTAGATGGTGGATAGGCTTTTGGAAGGTAAGTTGCTCGCTGTAGAGTCCCTTACCTCTGACTAGCTGTCGTACCTGTTGTATTTATATGGCTAGTCCAGTTCAGTTTTTGGTCAATGGTAACCACCAGGTCATTGGAAATGAGGAATTTAGCAATGGTAATGCCATTGAGTGGCAAGGGGCAATGGTTAGATTCTCTCTCGGACATGGTCGTTGATGTGCAGTTGTATTTTGCCAATATTGCTTGGCTCTTGTCAGTTCAAGACTAGATCTTGCAACAAGTCACGAATCGTGCGAAACATATTGCCATCATCTGTGAACATCCCCACTTCTGACCTTGTGAAGGAGGGACACTCATTAATGAACCAGCTAGAGATAGTTGGGTCTAGGACGCTACCCTGAGGACCTTGGTTTTTGTGGTACAGTTGTAGTGATTCTGTATCTGAACCAGAAGATCTGTGTTCAAATTCCACATGCTCTAGAGATGTGGTGTAACACATCCAGACAGTTTTGATTAAAGACGTCTATCCTGAAAAACTTCTGCAAGGTGATCCTGGACCTTTGTCAAGTATGACTGTTGCCACTGGACAGTTTTTTATTCACTTGTGGCATGTGGGCGTCACTGGTAGGCCAACATTTATTACCCGTTCCTAGTTGTCCTTAAAGGTGATGGTGAGTTTCCTCCCTGAACCGCAGCAGTCCACCACTTGTTCGTTGACCCACAGTGCCAGTAGGGAGGGAATTCCAGGATTTTGACCCAGCAACAGTGAAGGAACAGTGATATATTTCCAAGTCCGGATGGTGAGTGGCTTGGAGGGGAACTTGAAGGTGGTGTTCCCACGTATCTGCTGCCCTTGTCGTTCTAGATGGAAGTGGTCGTGGGTTTGGAAGGTGCTGCCTGAGGATCTTTGGTGAATTTCTGCAGTGCATCTTGTAGATGGTATACACTGCTTTGTAGCCGTTGTTACAACAGAATGGCTTGCTAGGCCATTTCAGAGGGCAGTTGAGTCAATCACATTGCTCTGGGTGTGGAGTCGCATGTAAGTCAGACCAGGTGAGGATGACAGAGTTTCTTCCCTGAAGGACATCAGTAAATCAGATGGGTTTTTCTGACCATCAACATTGATTTCATGGTCATCAGATTATTAATATCAGTTTTTTAATAGAATTCAAATTCCATCATTTGCAGTGGTGGGATTTGAACCTGGGTACCCAGAACATTAGCTGAGTTTCTGAATTAATAGTCTCTAGGCCATCGCCTCCCTGACATTCCTATTGATATCAAATGTAGTCACTCTCCCCTGACCTGTGGAATCCATCTTCTGCCCATTTTTTTTGACTGGGGTCTGTAATGAGGTTGAGCTGAGTGGCTCTGGTGGAGTTGATATTGAATCAGTGCCAGTGAGCAGATTATTGATGTGCAAGTACTGCTTGACAGCACTGTTGATGAAACCTGCTATCCCTATGTTCAAGAGTGTTTGATGGGGTGGTAATTGGCTGGGTTGGTTTTGCTCCCCCTTTGTGTATAAGACATAGCTGGGCAAGTTTCCACATTGTTGGTAGATGCCAATGTTATAGCTGGCCTGAAATAGCTTGTCCAGGACTTTGGCAAGTTCTGAAATATATTTCTTCTGCACTTTTTGGAATGTTAAGGTCCATAGATTTTCAGTATCCACTTCTCCAGCCTTTTGTGCTGATGGTACCACTGAAGGAGACTAAGGTGGATCACTCATTCAGCACTCTGACTAAAGATTGTTGCAAATGTTTCAGCAGTGGTGTTCTGTGATTCCCAATCATTGAGGATGGGGATATTTCTGGAGCTGACTCCTCCAGTGAGTAGTTTAACTGCCCATTAGCATCCATAACTAGATATATTGGAACTGCCAAGTTAGATTTGATTAATCTGAAGTTGGTTGGGGAATTGCTTATTCCTGTCTATCTGTTTCTGTTTGGCATGATAGTCCTGTTTTATAACCTGTGGTGCTGCTCTTGGCGTGCTGTCCTTCAATTCTTCATTGAACCAGAGTAGCATCCTTAGCTTGATGGTAATTATACAGTGTGGCTTATGCCAGGCCTTGACATTGTAGACTGTGCTGGCACACAATCAACTGGTAGCCTACAGTGCCTCTGTATATCCAGTCTTGAGTAGTTAGATTTGAGTAAAATCTATCCCATTTAGCACAGTCATTATGCCCCACAACAGACTGGCGAGTATGTGGGACTTCGGGGCAGGACTTACTTTGCCACAATGGTTGCACAGTGGTCACTGATATCAATGCTGTCATGGAGAGATATGTCTGCAGCAGGCAGATTAAGGATGTGGTAACTGTTTTCCTCCTCTTGATTTTGATTACTATCTGCTGTAGACCCAGCCTTGCAGCTGTGTGCTTTAGGGTGCCACAGTCTGGTGTTGTTGAGCCAGTCTTGGTGATGGAGATTGAAGTTCCCAACCTGGAGGGTGTTTTGTGCCCTTGCCATCCTCGGTGCTTCCTCTTAGCCTTTAATATGGAGGAGTTATTCATCAGCAGAGATGGTGAGAAAGTGGATAATCAGTTGGAGATTTATCTATTTTTAATCTCGGGCCACAAGGGACTGGAGCCAACATTGAGGACTTCGAAGATAGCTCCTGCCTGACTAAATACCACTGTTGCCACCTCCTGGGTTTGTCCTGTTTGTGGTTCAGGACGTAGCCAGGAATGGTGGTGATGATTCTGGGGCATTGTGTGCTTGGTGTGATTTTGAGAGGATGACTGTCAGGCAGTTGCTTGACTGGTTCGTAGGATAGCTCTTTGAATTTTTGACACTAATTGTGTAGGTTAGGTGGGTTTTGCAGGCTTAACAGGGCTGAGTTTGCTGTTGTCATTTGTGGTGCCTTAGTTGAAGCCATGTGGTCTGTACATTTTGTTTGAGATGTTTTAGCTAAGTGATTTGCTAGGCTATTAGAGGGCAGTAGGGAATCCAGTGCATTGTGTCCCATGTAGGCCAGACTGGTTAAGTATTCCTTCCCCAAAAGACAAGTGAAACAGCTTTTTAAGACAAATGACAATGGTGTCATTGGAATGAAACGTCTAACAGATCTGTATTGAATTCAAATTTCACTATCTTCAGTGGTAGGATTTGAACCCATGTTCCCAGAATAGGACCTGGATTTTTTCTGCATTACTAGTCCAGCGACCTTGCCACTAGGTCATTGCCTGCCCTTGGATGCTATCAAATTATTATTCTTAACCAGTTCCATCACTTCGTTGCAAGGCAGCGCTTTAAAGGAAATAAGAATTTGATTTCTGTTCATGAGTTGTGTATGTCTGCCTGTCTGTGGGTGTTGTCCTCTTAGGTGAGACAACCAACCCACCTTGAGCCTGTTGTGATGGCTTACAATTTTGAACCTTTATGTATTCTTAGGTGTTGAGAATGCAGTATTTTGGTCGTCTGTTGTGGAAGTGTAGTGTAGTGTGTCTGTGGCTGTGATGAAATGCTATTTCAGTGGAATCTGTACACTCTAAAGTTCAGTTAACCGACAGTGGTCGTTATATAACTTTTGTATGATTGGTTCTTATTTTGTCACATATATAAGACTATGTAGGGGTCAACTTTGTCATCCTCCTTCAATTGAAGACTCAATACGAGGCAAATTTTTAACGTAACCCCTGT